TTTGTAGTTTTCTGAGAGTTTTTTTTTTTTATCATGAATGAGTTTTGAATTTTATGAAGTGTTTTTTTCTATACCTGTCGAGATGATCACAGTTTATTTTTTCTGTTAAAATGGAGAATTATGATTAATTTTTAATGTTATAAGTCAATCTCGAATTCCTGAAATAAATCGCACTTGATTATAGTGTATTAACTTTTTAAAGAAACAGACTTTACTTTTTTTTAGAGCCGTTTTAGGTTCACAGCAAAACTGAGCAGAAAGTATAAAGTTCCCACTTACCTGCCACCCTGACACGCAGCCTCCCCGACCACTCCCACCCCCACCAGGGTGCGGCATTTGTCACAACTGAGGAACTGACGCTGACACATCACGGCCACCCAGAGACCACGGCTCACACGAGGCTCACCCCGGTGTGCATTCTGCAGATGTGCACAAATGCGCAATGACACGCGTCCACCATAACATCACACAGAACAGTTTCCTCTGTGCTCCCTGCTCACTCCTCTCTGTCCCAAACCCTGGCAACCACTGGACTTCTTACTGTCTCCATAGTTTAGCCTTTCCCAGGATGTCACGTAGCTGGAATCACACCATGTGCAGCCTTCTCAGACTGGCCTCTTTCACTTAGCGGCATGCTCTTAAGGTGCCTCCGTGTCTCTTCATGGCTTCTTTTTTTTAGCGCTAAATAATATTCCATCGTCTGGACATACCAGAGTTTAATTATCCTCTCAGCTACTGAAGGACATCCTGGTGGCTTCCAAGTTTTCGCAGTTACGGATAAAGCTGCTATGAATATTGTGCAGGGTTTTGGGTGGACTTGCGTTTTCAACTCCTTTGGGTACATACGAAAGAGCCTGGCTGCTAGATCAGAGGGTGCGAGCATGTTTTGTAAGGAACTGCCACACTGTCTTCCACAGTGGCTGTGCACTGGGCATTCCCACCAGTGTGAGTGAGAGCTCCTGCGGCTGCATGTCCTCGCCAGCGTCCGGTGGTGTCACTGTCTCGGGTTTTGCCTTCCTACCAGGTGTGCAGGGGCCTCTTGCAGATTTAATTTGCACTGCCCTCATGACACATGCTGCTGAGCGGCCCTTCAGTCGCTTACTTTCCAGCTGCATGTCTTCCTTGGTGAGCTGTCCGTCCAAGCCTTTTGCCCATCTTTTAATTGGACTGTTCATTTTCTTATTGTTGAGTTTTAAGAGATCTTTGAATACTTTGGGCAATGGGACTTTATCAGATATGTGTTTTGCAAGTACTTCCTCCCAGTCTGAGCTTGTCTTCTCATTCTGCTCATTAGCTCTTTAACGTCTTAGTTGATTTTGTTGCTAATTTTGCAACTATGTTCATAAGATATATTGAACTTTAATTTTCCTTTCTCCTAATGTCCTTTTCAAGGTTGGGTATCTGAGTTTAAGCTGGCCGAATAAAACAAGTTGGGATGTGCTCCTTCTTTTTATATTCTTTAGAAGAGGTCATGTAAGATTGGTGTGATTTTGGGCCAGCCCCATGGCTCACTTGGGAGAGTGCAGCACTGGTGACACCGAGGTCGCGGGTTCGGATCCTATATAGGGATGGCTGGTGCGCTCACTGGCTGAGCGTGGTGCAGACCTCACCGTGCCGAGGGTTGCGATCCCCTTACCGGTCAAACAAAACAACAAAAAAAACGGTGTGATTTCTTCCTTAAGTGCTTGAAAGAATTCACCAGTGACGTCATCTGGGTCTAAATTTTTCTTTGTGGTAAAGTTTTAAACTATGGATTTGATTTATTTAACAGATACAAGACTATTTAAATTTTCTGCTTTTTTCTAGCATCAGTTTTGGTACATTATACCTTCTAAGAATTCTGTCTATTACATGCACTTGGTTGCCGACAGCATACCCCAGCACCATGTTAATGTCTGTGGTGTCTGTAGTGATGTCCTCCTTTGCGTTCCTGATGTTGGTAATTTGTACTCTCTCCATTTGTGAGTATGGCTTGATGATCTGTGCACGAATCAATTATTTTATTGGGAATTACTAAATGGTGATTTTTGACTTAATTGTTCCTTTTTCATGTAAGGCTGGAAAACACTGCAAAGAAAATCTTTCCTCCCCACTTCCCTTGAACATCACTTTGGACTCATAGATTAAAAGAAAAAAAATTGAGATATTATATTCCTTTACCATCATTATCTTTATGCTCAGTCCAAAGAGCCCTTGTTTCTTTTAGTGGAAAATGGTATTTAGAAACTAAGATCTGGCTGCTAGACACACTCCTCACTATGAGATGTCATTGCATCTAGGCCCTTTCAGAGCACAGAGCTAGGAAAAAAATTATAAATCATTAATTTAAACTGATATCTGCAATTAAATCTACCACCACAGGGTCTTCCTCACCCTCCCACTTTCCATACCTGTGTCTCTTCTCTTCTCAGTGAGAACTCTGGTCCCCAACCCCATCAATACATTCACTTGGTTGCTCTGTGTCTTTTTAAAAAAAATGTAATAGGTGTGATAGCAACTAACTGATCCGCATGCTCTACCTGCCCCATACTGTGGAAAGTCAGGACAACCCTTTCACACAGGCAGAATTAGTTCCACTTTAGGGATGAGAAAACAAACTCAGAAAGTGAAAGTGACTTGCCCGTTGACGTAAGCGAGGGACCAGAGGAGGATGAATCCAGGAAGGTCTGACATCAGAGTCCAAGCTTTTGACTCTCACCTGACATGGCCTGGGCTGTGCAAGGTGAGGGGGCAGGCGTCTGGCTGCTACCTTCTGCAGATGAAGGGGTGGCCCAAGGAGCCTGCACAGACTGAGCTTTACCCTCGGGCCGCCCTGACTAGATACACAGCAGGAAGCCCTTCTCCCAGATGCCATCCCTCTGGCGACACCCTCATATCATACACACACACTTGTACACCCCCATGCACACACGCACACAGATACACACGTACTTGTACACACACATATGCGGACACATATATGCACACACACATGCAGACTAGTACATACACACAAATATGCACACGTGAACACGCATGCACAGATACACACTTGTACACACATGCACACACTTGTACACAAGTGGACACAAATGTACACACAGAAACACTCACTTGTACACACGCACACATGCTTTCTTGTACA